GCACTATTTCAGGACACCTTGTCTTGACATCCATAGTTAATTGATCTATTCTTTCCTAAACAATCCCAGTTTATCTCCACAAGACAAGCTCTTCCTGATTCACCATTTCTTCTTGCTATACACACCTTCATTCATGAATGCATTTATGCCTCCTGAAGTTGGATCCTGGAGCTCTTGGGAGCAAAAGAATACTTTTTTTAAACATCTTTAATGACATAAGGAAAAAGGAGTCTTCCTCTCTTGTCCTGCTCAACCACAATCCTGTCCATGAGTTTAGGTTTATTATGTTGGGCACACACGCAAATCCACACACCATTCAGACTGCTGATGAATGCAGTGTTTGTGTTCAGACTACTACAGGTGCTTTTTCAGTTTTCTATCATTGTAGTGCTTTTTTTTTTTGTTTGTTTGTTTTTTTTTTTGTTTTTCGAGACAGGGTTTCTCTGTGTAGCTTTGCGCCTTTCCTGGAACTCACTTGGTAGTCCAGGCTGGCCTCGAACTCACAGAGATCCGCCTGGCTCTGCCTCCCGAGTGCTGGGATTAAAGGCGTGCGCCACCACCGCCCGGCTCCATTGTAGTGCTTTTATCACCCAACTTCTTACTGTTTATATTCTTAGTATAGCATCATGTGCATATTTTCCTTTGGTCAGATATTTCTCACTTATGGAAAGATGAACTCTAGAATAAACACATTGTGCAAGAGACCCTCTGAAGATTGTGAGAGCTGGAGGGGAAGGAAACCACAGAATCAACTAATCTGGATTCATAGGGGCTCACAGAGACTGAACTCTCAACCAGGGAGCGTGCATGGAACTGACCTAGGCCCTCTGCACATAGGTTGCAGTTGTGTATTTGATCTTCTTGGGTGCTCTAACAGTGGGAGCAGGGGCTATCTCTGACTCTATTACCTGCTTCTGGGACCCTTTCCTCCTACTGGGTTGCCTCATTTAGCTTCAATACCAGAGGAGGTGCCTAGTCTTACTGTGACTTGATATACCATGGCTGACTAAAATACATGAGAGTCTTGGTCTTTTTTTTCCAGGCAGGATGCCATTTTATTTTATTTTATTTTATTTTATTTTATTTTAAGAGATTTTCTATTCATTTTACATACCAACCACAGATTCCCCTGTCCTCCCTCCTCCTGCCCCCCCCAAATTCCCCCCAACCTACCCCCCATTCTCACCTCCTCCAAGGAAAGATCTTCCATTGAGAATCAGCAGAGTCTGGTACATTCAGTTGAGGCAGGTCCAAGCCCCTCCTCCCTGCACCAAGGCTGCACAAAGTGTCTCACCATAGGCACTAGGTTCCAAAAAGCTAGCTCATGCACCAGGGACAGGTCCCGATCCCACTGCCTGGGGGCCCCCTATACAGTTCAAGCTAAACAACTGTCTCACTTATCCAGAGGGCCCAGTCCTGTACCATGGGGGCTCCTCAGCTATTGGTCCACAGTTCATGCATTTCCACTAGTTTGGCTAATTGTCTCTGTATTTTTTCCAGTCATGCTCTTGATATCCCTTGCTCATAGAATCCCTCCTCTCTCTCACAATTAGATTCCTGGAGCTCCACCTGGGACCCAGCTGTGCATCTCTGCATCTGTTTCCATCAGTGACTGGATGAAATTTCTATTATGACAATTAAGGTATTCAGCCATCCAATCACCAGAGTAGGTCAGCTCAGGCACCCTCTTGACTACTGGAGTCCTGAACTTTTTGAAGAGAAAGGAGGAGAAGTGGATGGGGAGAAGAGGAGATGTTGGGAGGAGGGGGTGAGAGGATAAGAGGGAGGGAGAAACTGTGATCAGACTTGTAAAAATTAATTAATTAATATACATTAAAAAAGAGACACTGTGAAATGTGACTGCAGCAATCATGTTGATTTTCACTTCTTAGACCAGCCCAAGATCATCTTTGCTGAGTATGTACCCCAAAGTCTGTCTTTCCCTCTGCTCAGGCTCGGATTGCCCATTTCTTCAATATGGCTCAATCTCAAGGACTCAGCTTTTTATATTCTTACTGAGTTTTAGAATTTTTCATCTTTTTGTTTTTTTTTTAATTTGGTGTATGAATACTGAGGAAAGATGGGGGCACCCAAGTGAATCAAGAGACAAAGTGCTAGATGAATGGAGCAGAGTTAAGTGAGCTACTGGAAAGTCCTAGGCTTTTCCTTTTCACTCAAGTCAGTCAACTCCATGTAGGGACTAGAAAGAGGAAGTTACTAGTGGGCCTCTGACCTCCATGCATGGTTCCCATGGTGATGGCGGGGACTACACCTCTTGTTCATGAATTCTCATCAGGGGAAAGGTCTGCTTATTTACTGTTTTACACTATGGTTTCTAGCCCTCAGAAGCCACTAAAGTATTTATATGAAGCAAGAAAATATGGTTTTATACAACAAAACACATTACATATTAAAGTATGGGTGGGCTTTAATGTGCTCAAAGAAAAAGTGTCTCTTGTTGTGTAAGTGTGGCCCTATGATACATCCAGGATAGCTGCACAGAAGCAGAAAGCAGGATCTGGGGAGAATGCGCAGTGGGAATAAATGTGGAATTTGCATGTGGCTGTCTTGAGGGTGGTGACAGTGTTCAGACTAGAGATGGACGTTCCATGAGTGTGGGAACTCCACATGAGAGAAAACTTATATTCATTTTTTCTGAAATCAACTTAATTGGTTTAATATGTTTGCATCCATTTTTTCTTTTCTTCATTCTCATTTTTTCTTTTTCATATTAATATGTAGAAAACCTACTGATATTTGTGAATTTATTTGTTGTCTATTATTTTACTGAAAGTATTTTAGATATCCAAGTGTTTTCTGGTGGGCTATTTAGGATCATCTAAGTATTTGAACACATAATATGCAAATAGGTCTAATTTGAGTTTTTTGTTTTCCTATTTATTTGTTTTTTGCTTCTTCCTCCTGCTTATTGTTATAGTTAAAATGCTGAGAGCTATAATGTATAAGTGTGGAAAGACAAGGCACTATTTTCTCATAGAAAATACTCTTAGAGGGTATGCTGCCAATTCTTCTCAATTCAGTATAATATTGCTAAAGGACACAAATAGGAAGAAAAATCAAATTATTCCTATTTGAAAATGGTATGATATTATATGTAAAAGAGTCCAAAGAATCTACCAGAAAACTTCTATAAATGATCAGTAGTATCATCAAAGTGCTAGCATATAAAATTGACCTAAAAAGCAGTAGCCTTTCTAAATATCAATAACAAATAAGCTTCCAAAGAATTTATAGAAACACCATTATTGGTAGGCTTAGAAAATAGTAAAATGAACAGGAACAATCCTAATGAAAGAGTTTAAAGACCACTATAATGAAAACTTCAAATCTCTGAAGAAAGAAGTTGAGGAACACACTTGAAGATGGAAAGACCTCTCATATATATGGATGGAGGAAATAATATTGTTAAAAATGATCATCCTGCCAAAAGTAATCTGCAGATTCAATACAAGCCCAATCAAAATACTGGGATGTTTCTTCACAGACATAGTAAAAAATGTCTCAATTATATAGACGCACAAAGGAAGACCAAGGATAACCAAAGACATCTTGGACAAAATGAGTGGTGGAGGAGGTCTCTCTATACTTGATTTAAAGTTATATTACTGAGCCATAGTAATCAAAACAGCACAGTACTGGCACAAGAGGTATATAGATAGATGGAATGGAATAGTGGATCCTGATATGTCTATCCAACCAAGGTTACCTGATTTTTGACAAAGATATAAAAAATGGACAGTGGAGTAATATAAGTATTCAACAGATGATGATGGTCAACACAGATTTCAACATGCAAAATAGTGAAACTGAATTCTGACCTCATACCCTGAACAAAATTGAACTTCAAACAGAGTTAGGGATTAATATGATTACAATACATTATATGTATGTTTAAAGTTTTCCAATAATAATGATGATGACAATAATAGTAATAATAGCAAGAACAACAAAAATAAGGCACTCAACCCCTCCCCCCAACAATAAATTTTGTAACCAGAGTATGTGGAATTGTCACTAGGGAATATATAGAAACCAAAGCTTCCTTGGACACTTTCAAATCTTTAGTTATTTAGTGTTCTCTTGTGAGACAGAATGGGAGTCATATTGTAATCTATATCTTATAAGTTGGGCTGTTGAAAGTTGTAATTCCTTCCTGGCTTCCTAATGGGATATTATTACTTTACAAGGGAATTTCTAAGAATCTCTGAGTTGAATTTGGACTTTACAGTCATGGCCTCTCTTGGATGGTCTGTATATCAGGACCAATGAGCTATTGAGCTTTCTATTTGCATCAGAGAAGTTATAATTTCCCCCTGGAGACAAATTTTGACCACTGGGTATCCAAATCCTAAGATAATGTCTAACTTCTATACTATAATACTTATTAGAAAGAGAATGGGGAATTGAGTACCATCAGATATTCAATAAAGAAGAGTTTAATGAAATGAATAAGCTAAAAGCAGAATAAAGTAACAACACTTGTCTCCACCTTCTAATTCAGTAACACTTCTGAAACCAGCAGGATTGACTCTTTGTAAAAACAGGTAAAAATGTGTAATCCTCCTCTAAATAAATTCCATAGGGAATTGAATTTGTTTGCCCATGATAGCCAGAATAACTCAGTTCCCCGGGTGTGATGATGGTGTTCCCCAGGCCTTCATCATCATCCTTTTATTCCATTGCCACAAGATTTAGAAGTTGTGTGCCTCCCTTTGACCTTCAGGCAGTTAATCCTCAAGTGCCAGGGATGTTCTTTGGTCATCTCATTATTAAACATTGAGACCCTCATTTTCCCAGACTAATACAACTTCTAGATTCAAGGACCCCGTACCATGTTTCTTTGGTGATGTAAGCTAGGAAAACCCATATCTAGCTTTGGAAGACTTTTCTCTAACTTGGACCAAATATATGAAATACCTTATTGATTGTATTACTTACTTTTCTATGGCTAGTCAGAGCACTTTGACTTTTTGGACTTAATGGTGATAGGTAAGTGAAAACCCAGGGTCTCCCTTCCAAGGTTCTCTCAAGGAGTGTATCTTCTCTCTGAGATGTGCTTCGGTCATCCCAAATCAGGAGGTGCTGGTCCATTTAACAGGATGCTCTCTTTTTTTCCTAGGACTCTACAGAAAACCTACTTTGTCAGTCCTGCCCAGCCCAGTGATGAGATTAGGAGGGAATGTGACCCTCCAGTGTGTCTCACAGCTTGGATATGATGGATTTGCTCTGACTAAGGAGGAACCACAGAAGTTCTCTTGGACCCTAGACTCACAGTACATATACTCTAATGGCAGTTTCCAGGCATTGTTCTCTGTGGGGCCTGTGACCTCCAGACAGCGGAGGACATTCAGATGCTACGGCTATTACCTGAGTAAACCCCAGGTGTGGTCAGAACCCAGTGACCCTCTGGAGTTCCTGGTGTCAGGTGAGGAAGCTCCGCTTGTCTATTGAAAGATATTGCCTCTGAAAAGGATCTAGGAGATCCAGGGCTCTCAATCCCATTGACACAGGGAATGAAGACAATAGGACCCAAGATACAGAAACTAAGGGAGGGAGGGCAGTGACAGTGAAACACGGGGTGTCTAGAAGATAGATTGGTCTTCATGTGACTCCAGTGTTCCTTCTGCTGTTCTGGGATCAACTCAATGTTCTCCATATTATCATGTAATAAATGAATAGATATGTATATGGTATATGCATTATAAGTGATTTTATATATGTATAATAAAGATAATCACATGAGAGAAAACATGGTGTTAATCTTTCTGTGTCTCATTTACTTGGTTTAATGTATTGATCTCCATTTGCACCCAGTTTTTTACAATTTTTCTGCACAAAGAATTTTTTCCTTCAAATAAATATATTTGAAATTTCATGGTAACTTATATATTTATGCATATACATATATAATTCTATTTTCTATGTTCACATGTATTTATAATTACAGAAATATACCTATAATATTATATGGTTTAATGTATATGTATAAATTTAACTTTTTTGATGATTTAATATGAGTGTTGTCTTGAAATTATTTCTACTTATTTTCTTCTTCCTCTTACTCTGTTTCTTTCATTCCTTCTTATATTTGACCTGTGTTTATTAATTAGTACTGTTACATCACAGAGAGAGAGAGAGAGAAAGAGAGAGAGAGAGAGAGAGAGAGAGAGAGAGAGAGAGAGAGAGAGAGAGAGAGATCCTAGAGCCTAGCTTGGGTTTCTTTTGATTCTTTCATTTTCTTCCTTTGTCTCCACACAATTTATCCAAAGCCATCACAGATTCACCACATGGTTTGTCTCCGCTTCTTGTTTTTCTGGTCAGGTTTTTCCATTTGATCCCAGCGTGTACAAGGGAGCAAGTGACTTGGATTCCAGGTGGTCATTATATAGACCTTTTTAGGCAAGCATACTTTTGACATTTCATGTCATGTCTAGAAGACTCCATTCTGTAGCAGAATCTTCTTCCTCTAGTTCCTACAATCTTTCTACCTCACTTCCACAATGTACCCTGTAATACACACACACACACACACACACACACACACACACACACACACACACACACACTTACATATGTATATATTGGATTGTAGAAGTATCCATTTGGACTGGGCACATGAATGCCACTTATTCTTGTTTTGACTAGTATCAATCTCAATAATCATCATCATCTATGGCAAAAGAAGCTTCTTTGATGAGAGGTGAGAGCCAAACTTACCTTTAGGTTTAATGATTAGTACTTATAATGCAGTTCAAAATTACATTGGTTTAGGAACACGGAAGTACTTGTTTCTTCTTTAGTGTACATAGCCTCTGCAGAAGTGGATACAAGTAATATATTTTCATTGCTCAATTTTGGCCTATCCTTTGATGATTTAGGTTACCTACTTATTAGAACATATCTGCATTCATGTACATTGTGAGCATTTTTTATTGTTTGCATTACTAACAATGTCATGATTAGAGAGTGAGATGTTAAACAGAAACATCATGGGAACTGCTTGGGGTAAGTGTAGGTAGAGAACCCCAGTCTGTCACTATTTTGTACACCTGATATTTATAAGTCCCTGAGAAAAAGAATTTTGGGCAGGATCTTGGGTTCTTAGCTGGTGAATTGGTGCAAACCAATTTCCTGGGAAATTAGCTTCCAGGATTCTATACTCCAGACTGAGCTGGGAGCACAGGAAGGCTCCTTTATTCTGAACTCAGAGACCATACTTTTCCATCTCTGCTGTCTGGAATAAGATAATTTCTATTCCCAAGAAGTGCCTTGGGCAACAGTTCTGAACTCAAAGCAAGTCAGGCTGAAGAAAACAAGCCAAAGACCTGGAGGAAGCTGCTACAGCAGAGAAAGGGTGTATTTCATATTTTCATAATGTTGTGTGATGATATTAATATGTATTTCTAGGAAATGAGAAGATGAAACTGGACAAAAAGAATCAGTTCTCTTGAGCACTTCACACATCCAACATGTCTTTGTTTCTCAGGAGCACCTGAGACCACCAGGCAACCACAAAACATGTCAGAAGCCATGACAGGTGAGTAAGGAAAATTCTGGTTTGGGCATGACACAGAAGGTCAAATTCTATACTGAGGAGGGAGCCTCTCAGAGTAGAAATCCAGTTATCTTATGGTGGCTTTGGTTGGTCCTGATGTTTTTGTCAACAATTTCTAGTCTCACCAACCCAGGATCACACAGTGGAGAACCTCATCCGGATGGGCATGTCTGGCTTGATCCTCACACTTCTTGGGATTTTGCTCTATGAAGCTTGCCACAGCCAGAGAAGAACCTTCACTGCATCCTAGAAGTGAAGAAGAGAGATAGCAACAGACCATGCATGGTGCCCACATAGGGGAAGCAAATTTGAGGGTCTCTGGTGTTTTTTGTTTTTTGTTTTTTTTACATAGAATTCAATGTTTAATATCGGGAATCACTTGTGAGGAAAGACCCAGGAAGGAAATGTGTTTTGGGTGCAGGAAAAGGCCTGGATGTTGGTGTGAACAGCTCTTCCACCACCACAGAAAGACTCTACCCTCTGCCTTGCTGTGGACTTTGAAGATTTTTCTTCCTTCCTTTGCAGTCTATGATATGGGGGAACCTGTTGTCCCAGCAGTGAGGTTTGAGTTTTTTCCTCTGTGTATCTTCTGCTTTCCCCCAGTCTCTTGTCATACTTTCCTTTATTATAAGTTACCACATTCCCTATTTTCCATTTTGAGCATCTGCTCTTTGTGGATGTTGTTCCTATGAACAAGGCATTTGACTCAGTACAAGATCAATAAAAAATGAGCACAAATCAGATTCCAGAATGAAAAAAATAACTGAAAATAAATGAGGCTTCTAAAAGTCTGTACTTTCAAACCATTAGGTATTCATCACAAACTCACTGAGATTTATAATAAATTTAAAATGTTGCTGTGCAATAAAAAACAATGATATCATGAAACTTGCAGGCAAATGGATGGAACTAGAAAATATCATCTTGAGTGAGGTAACCCAGACTCAGAAGGACAAACATAGTATGTACTCACTCATAAGTGGTTACTAGATGTGAGGGAAGGGATGGCCAGACTGCAACCCACAATTCCAGAGAGGCTAGCTAACAGGGAAAGACCCTAGGAGAGACACATGGATGACCCTGCGAAGCAGAAGTGGATGAGATCTACATGAGTGGACTGGGTGTGTTGGGGGGTGGCAGAGGGCGAGGAGTGGGGGATGAGAATGTAGTGAAATGGGAGGGTCAAGCTGGAACAGGGACAGAGTGCGAGAGCAGGGAGGAAGATACCATGATAGATGAGGACATCATGGGAATAGGAATAGTCAGGGTGCTGGGGAGCCTCTCAGGAATCCACAAGGATGACCCCACCTTGGTCTGCTGGCAGTGGTCCAGAGGGTGCCTGGACTGGTCTACTCTGGTGACCGGTCTAGCGAATACCCTAACTGTCATCATAGAGCCTTTGTCCAGTGACTGATGGAGGCAGATGCAGAGATACATGGCCAGGCACCAGGCCTCATGAGCTCTAGGAATCCAACTGATGAGAGAGAAGAGGGATTCTGCAGGCAAGGGACATTGAGATCATGATGGGAGGACATGCAGAGATTACCGGCCACACTAGTGGAAGCCCATGAACTGTGGATTGGTGGCTGTGGAGCCCCCATGGGACTGGACTAGGTCCTCTACATAAGGAAGACAGTTGTTTGATTTGAACTGTTTGGGGGTCACCCAAGCAGGGAGATCGGTATCCATCCCTGGTGCACGGACAGGTTCCTGGGAATCCTCTGCCTATGGTGTGATGCCTTGCACAACCTTGGTGCAGTGGGAAGGGGCTTGGACTGCCTAGGCTCAGTGTGCTGGGCTATGCTGACTCCCCATGGGAGACCTTGATTTGGGGGATGTGGGGATACAGAGTAGCTTGGGAGAGAGGGTTGGGGTGGGAGGAGGGAGGAGGGGGGATCTGTGGGTAGTATGTCGAGTGAGTAGGAAATTTCTTAATAAAGAAAAATGAAAAAAAATACAATCCTCCTACCTCAGCCTCCCAATCACTAGAGTTACAGATGTGCACTGCCAATCTTGGCCATTCCTCCTCCTCCTCTTCCTCCTCCTCCTCTTCCTCCTCCTCCTCCTCCTCCTCCTCTTCCTCCTCCTCCTCCTCATCATCCTCTCCTCTTCCTCCTCTTCCTTGTTTTGCAAACAGATCTCTCTATATGTAGCTCTGGCTCATATATATACTCAATATATACCAGACTGACCTCTAAATTTTGTAAGGTTCTGTAAGACAATGAACACAGTAAATAAGACAAAACAGCAGCCTACAGAATGAGAAAAGGTCTTCACCAACCCCACATTTGACAGCTGGTCTCCAAAATACATAAAGAACTCAAGAAAGTAGACATTAAAATACCAAATAATCCAATTTAAAAGCAGGGTACAGATCTAAACAGAATTCTCAACAGAAGACTCTCAAATGGCCAAAAGACATTTAAGGAATTGCTCAACATCCTTAGCAATCATGGAAATGCAAATCAAAATGACACTTAGATACCATCTTACAACTGTTAGAATAGCTAAGACCAAAAACACTGATGACAGCTTATGTTGGAGAGGATGTGGAGTGAGCAGAACACTCCCACACTGATGATGGAAGTGCAAACATATACGGCCACTCAGGAAATCATCTATCTCAAGACACAATGATACCACTCTTGGGCATATACCCAAAAGATGTTTAATCATACCATAAGGACACATGCTCAGTTATGTTCATAGCAGCATTATTCATAGTAGCCAGAACCTGGAAACCACATGGATGCACCTCAACTGAAGAATGGATAAAGAAAATGTGGTCCATATGCACAATGGACTCTTACTCAGCAGTAAAAAACAATGACATCACGAAATTTTTAGGCTAATGGATAAAACTAGAAAAAAATCATTCCGAGTGAGGTAACCCAGGCCCAGAAAGACAAATACAATATGAAATACAATATGTGCTTACTCATAAGTGGATATTAGGCACAAAGCAAAGAATAACCAGACCACAATCCACAACCCCAGAGAAGCTAGGCAAAAAGGAGGAGCCTAAGTGGGACAAGCATGGAGGGCCCTAAGAAAGGGAAATAGTTAAGATCTCTTGGGTACACTTGGAGGGGATAAAAGGGAGTGGATAGGGGATGGCAACATGAAGGATCAAGAGGGCTGAGTTGGGGGAGAGATGGAGAGGGAGAGTAATGAAAGAGATATCTTGATAGAGGGAGTCATTATGGGCTTAAGGAGAAACCTCACGCTAGGAAAATTCCCAGGAATCCACAAGGATGACCAAAGCTAAGACTCCTAGCAATAGTGGAGAGGGTGCCTGAGCTGTCCTTCCCCTGTAATCAGATTAGTACCTACCTTAGTTATCATCATAGAACCTACTTCCAGTAGCTGATGGAAGCAGATGCAATGATCCACAGACAAGCACTGGGCTGAGCTCCTGGAGGTCAGTTGGAGAGAGGGAGGAGGGATCATATGAGCAAGGAGGGTCAAGATAATGATGGAGAACACCATAGAATCAGATGATCCAAGCTATTGGGAGCTCATGGACTCTGTAAAGACAGCTGGGGACCTTCATGGAACAGAACTAGGTCCTCTGAATGTGGGTCATGTTTGTGGGGCTTGATCTGACCATGGTAGTGGGACCATGACTTATCCCAGGTGCATGAACTGGCTTTTTGGAGCCCATTCCCTTTGGTGGAATACTTTTCTCAGCCTTAATGTCGGGCGGGGGGGGGGGTGCTTGGTCCTACCTCAACTTGGTATGCCAGACTTGTTGACTCCCCAAGGGGGGTCTTATCCGAGAAGTGGATGGGATGAGGGGAGGAGGGGAGATAGAAAATAGGAGGTAAGGGGAACTGGGATTGGTATGTAAAATGAAAAAAAAATTAAACAAAAATAAATTTTAAATGAAAGTTGCAGGCAAGTGGATAAACTAGAAAAAATCATCCTGTTTGCTGTATGCCTGAATCAGAAAGATGAACATGATATGTATTTGCTTAGATGACAATATTAGCTATGAAGTCAATGATCACAAAGTAAAGTCTATAGAACTACAGAAAGTAGTAATGAACTAGAGGGAACTGAAAGACCTTCTTTGGAAATGGAAATAGAATAGATAGCAACTGTCACCTTATTTGATAATGAGATAGGTACACTAACAAATAGCAAACAAAATTTTAGTCTCTTACCCTTGGTCAGAAGAATATCTTCTAGCTGAAAGTTCTGCCTCCAATCAAAAGACACAGGTGAACTACCTCACAGCTTGAAAACAAAGATTACCAGGGATATTAGAAAAAACAACCCCCCAAGACTGGCCCAACACTAAGAACCTGTAATCACGCAACTAAAAAGTGCAACTAAGCTTGTCCAAATTAAAAACTACCCAATGACCCTGGAAAAAAAGGGAACTTGCATTCCAGACTGCTAGTCTTGGAGAGACAGGAATCCTGGTGCCAGGCAACTCACTCTGAAATACACCTTGTAGCTTGAGTTTTCCTGCCTGACCCACAGTCAGGACAAATCTCTCTCACCCGCCAGTCCCACAGCCGTCAGACCCAACCAAGTAAACACAGAGACTTATATTGGTTACAAACTGTATGGCCGTGGCAGGCTTCTTGCTAACTGTTCTTATAGCTTAAATTAATCCATTTTCATTAATCTATATCTTGCCACATGGCTCGTGGCTTACCGGCATCTTCACATGTGGCTTGTCATCATGGCGGCTGGCAGTGTCTCTCTGACTCAGCCTTCCACTTCCCAGCTCTATTCTCCTCCTTGTCCCGCCTATACTTCCTGCCTGGCCACGGGCCAATCAGTGATTTATTTATTGACCAATCAGCAACACATTTGACATACAGACCATCCCACAGCAACACCTCTCTTGCCTGTGAAGAAATCTAGGACCCCTGACTCTCATGAGTCTGATTCTTCCAGGGAAACAGATGTAAACTGCTATGGGCCGCAGGAATATAATGTAAAAACTCAGCTGGTTATGGCAAGGCCACCACCTGAAGGGATCAAGGAATTCCCTCAGAGGAAGCCAAATCTCAGGAAGCATTTGGTGCTATTTGGCTTTTATATATCAGCTGTCTTCTGTTATGGATATCATATGTGCCTTCATCGTTTTCCAATTGACCTTTTTCCCTAAGAATTGCTAAAAGTGGACTGTTCACTCTTGGACATATACATTTGAGGTATTTGGAGAACAGCCTCAGGAAAGGCTTCCTTCCCTCAGGCCCATCTTTTTCTCTCTTTTTAGCACTGGAATCAGAT